TCGAGATCAGGAGTGAGGATCCCCCATACCATTCCGTGTGATTTCCACAACAAGATGCGCTCGTGGTACATCCGATCATCATTGAAGTATGCAGCCACACGTTGGCCGGGGATACACTTTGACAACTCCGCGGCCCTTACACCTTGGACTTGGACCCTTCTCATCCCGTAGAGGCCCCTGTGCAATCCAATGGCGGGTACAGCAGCTGTAAACAAGGGCCAGGATCAAAGCAACGCAGAGCAGGGACAGTGCGATAAGAAGCTCTCTATGTATCCCAGTCTCGGTGCTCGCCGCCTGGCACTCGCAGCTGCACACACAAGGAGTGCGATCCAGCGCAATGCTTGGGCGCCCCCGGAAGAGAGACTCAAGCAGCTGGAGGGACCATGCACACAGGAGGGCCTCTACTTTCATCTTGAAGCTTGAGCGTTTCACAACAACGAAAGCACTCCATGCGCTCTCATCAGTCATCCTGTGCACGCACAAACAGAAAGCACCACACCAAAGACGAAACAAGCAAACATCAAATACAAGAGCAAGAGCACACGCAGAAATCCCTAAGTCACATGTGCAGAAGGTCCCACATCGACAATTGCCGAGCTACTCATCGTGGTTTGTTCGTCGGATGTCCCGTCCCTACAGTGCGGTTTCATGAGTTGGGCAATCGGGCATATCAAGAAGTTTCGCAGGAAAGCTGCATTCCCTTTAGGGATCTCTGCTGCCTCTCACTGAGCAATACTGTACAAGCATCCCTAGCCGGACATGTCCGACGCAGGCCGACACACGATACAGACTCAGTTAGCCTGCTCATCAAACGTGGGATCAGTCCATATGAAGTGCCCGGCTCAAGTCGTCACCACAGTTCTCCAGTGCTTCGGCGCCGCTTTGCAGAGCTTGCGCTTGTGCAGCTATGTCGAGCTTCATGACGCCGCCCAGCTCAAAGCCGAATTGCTTTCGGTTCTGTTACTTTGGCCATGCCGGGATGAACCAGCCCACCTGCTGAACCCGCCCTTCCTGCGCACTCCTGCATAGATCATGAAACGAAGCAGGAGCGCAGAAGAATCCTCCGAAGGATATGAAGGTGAGAGTGAAACCAATGCCAACAAACTGAGAGTTTTCAGATCAAGGTATGCGTGTCCGGCGCCTTGGCTGCAGGAGGTGCCGGGTCCAACGGACTCAGTACCTACCGAGTTCTCGGTGCCATTACCAGCGACTCGGCTTCAAAAGGAATGCTTCATACCATCCACAAAATCGTTACGAAGAGGCCAAAGGCATCCAAGGGCACTTGAGACATGGAGGCGGTATTCGAGGTTGCTGAGGCCGTTCGGGGGATCAGCGTCTGAAGCACTGCCTGGTCGAGCTTGACTTCAGGTGAACTTGCTTGGCCCCCCGTCCGTGCCCCCTTCGGGCAGCGTTGGGCATCCGGAGCTTTGCAGCCGACCCTGTGTTCGCCTCATGCGCTCGGGGTGACTCGCATCTCCAGCGTGAAGGGTCTTTTTTCTCATTTCGGAGTGAGTCTATGGATTCGTGGGAGTCCAAAGGATGCTTCCGGAATCTTCCGGATTTGCGAATGGACGAGATTGCTGTATGTGGCTGTTACAGATCCTGGGACTTGCATGTGTGCTGGCGGCGACACCCTGCCAGTCCTGCTCGAATCCACGAATGGCCAAGGTACTGCGAGCAGGGCAACGCCTGTCGCTTTTGCCACCTCCCTCATGACGGTCCCGCTGCGAAGCCCGACCAGGCGTGCGGCTGTGATGTCTGATCCACTGAAAAGGGGTCTCGAGCAGTCGCATGCCGAAGGTGAAGCGCCGGCTCATGCAGGCGATGTTCCTTGGTGGCTCAAGCCTGTCAGACGTTAGACGAGTGAAGTCCTCCATGGCCCTTGCCCGGAACCTCCCCGTGAGAAATAAGGTGTGATGGCGAGCTGATGGCGACTCTTCTGCCGCACATCCGCACCCGGGCCCTCGAGGTCACTCCCTGCTCCTGCCTTTGTCAATGCGTGCAACTGCAAACTAAGCCGAAGCGATCCAAAGCGCGAACCGCCGGCCGAATCTACATGCACGTGAAAGCTGTCGTATCAGATCATACACGTCTGAATAGCACATGTCACCCGTCGAACGACAGCCGCTCCGAACCGCTCTGGGCCCCGTACCTCTGCAGGCCGGCCTCACACCCCAAGTGTTTGCGTTGCTGGCAGAACTGGAGGAGACTTGTCTTGCAGGGTTTGGGGTTGTGTCGTAACGAACGGTTGTTGGCTTGGCACTTTCCAGCAGCTTGTGCACAGAGGTCGTGGTAATGGGTCATGTTGGGCGGCTTGTGGCAACTTTATTGGTAGCAGTTTACAACAGCTTGCAAACCTCCGCCCTAGTTTCGGATCTAAGCCAGTACGCAGCGAATTTGAGCATCGAGTCTGGGATCCTGCCCTGGGTGTCATTCAGCGCACGAGAGCCAAGGCGGAACTCCGTGAGGAGCTTGCACTTCGGCCGGTGGTGGAGCCTGTCCAGGCATGACCGCATGTGAAAGCAGCACTTGGCCTCACGACTGTCGCTCCGCTCGCTCCGCTCGCTCCGCTCCCAGGTGTCTGCGAGGCAGGAAGGGAGTCTCAAGAGGGCGCCTTGGCTGAGAATCTGGGGCCCGCGACACACCGCATTGCAGGGATTCTGCAGTCCGCGGCAAGTAGCCCGAACCAATGGCCCCGGGCAACAAGCTTCTTTCATGTGCGTTTGCAGTATGTGTTTCTTGAGAAGCGCAGGTGCTGGCACGAATGTCTTTGGTCGCACTCGTCGCCGGACAGCATGGGAGTAGTGTGTCAGAAAGCCGCGGTTCGCTGGGGATCGGAGCTTGTGGTGCGAGGACCGGTTAGGAACATTATTTTTGAGGTCTGAGTACTTTGCAGTAGTTACGGCCGGGACTTGCCCTGGCTTTCCCCTCATGGATACACTCCCTCATCCCATGACGCTGTTCCCCCATAAGCCTGAAGGTCAAACGGTTTCCGACACGCTCTCCAAAGCGGATCCAGGACTGATCCCAAACCCCAGAAAAGGCTTTGAAGTCCACCGCCCAGGACCTGTTGGATTGGACATTCGCAGAGGGTTCGGCCGGAGGAAGTTGGGCTGATATTTCTGGATGGGCCATCAATAAGGGGACCCCCCGCACCCGTTTCTGGGTTTGTCCACCACTGAGACCCAAGATTCCGGCAGGAATTACTTGATGCACTTCGCCGGGCACCGTCTGTGTCTTTGGAATGGGGCCCATGCTTGCGGCTCTGAGAATGCGTTGGTTCCAATTGGCCCTTCTTGGGCTTGAAAGGGTGAGAAAAACTGCAGCCGGAGGGCAGACTTCAGAGTTTTGCAGAGGGCAGACTTCAGAGTTTCGTGATGCCCGCCCTACACGGTACTTGAGCAGCTTTCTGGTTCAGCTGGCCATGAGATTGTAAGGGACCAATGCTGCCGCTCTGTGGGCCCCCATGTTGTAACTGTGTACCGGGTCGGCCTCTGACCCGCATCTTTGGCAATGGCCGGGCATCTCGACCCTTGGGGACAGAGAAGACGTCCCCTGGGTCGATGCGAGGAATCGGTGGGAATGCCGAAGCTGTGAAGTTGGCCGACGGCAGACAAGAACTGACGAGGTATGATGCATCGATGCACCAACCGTCCCCAACCTCAGAAGTGCGACATGAAGGGGCATTTTCATATAGCCGCACATCACAGAAGTAAAAGCGAACAGCTTGGTCGTATGTGGTTCCGAGCTTGTTTTCCAGGCCATGATAAGCGCCAGAGTAAGTGTCCAACGTCCCATCGCAACGCCGGGTGAAAAGTTGCAGCAGTTTGATCTAACACAGTGTTTTGCAATCCTGACTCAGGGAGGCTCTGTTGCAGTGTTTGAGTAAGCGAGTATCTGCTCGAGGCAGCGGGGCACTCCCTGTATCTGCCTTGATGCCCCCCCGACGGTGAGCCGGACCGCAAACACTCCAAGAAGCCCGAAGATTTCAGGAGATGCTGTGCAGCTTGTAGGGGTGGACTCAGGGTGATCGTTGTGGTAGGAGTTCACAGCTTTCTGCAGGGACCATGTGGCCGTTCAAAACCCATGCTACTGGGCCTGCCGACTGCCCGCTGCAGGAAATAGGCGTCGCTCTGGAATAAAATGGTTTGTTACACACCAAGTGAAACCTGATGTCGTTCATTCTGTGCAGGGTTTTTTCGAGACAAGTGCGCTGTACACGTGAATGTCCCTTGCTTACTCCCTGAACTACGGCCTCTGAGAGTCTGCCGGCTCATCGTGATTCTGATTGCCTTCGTGGACTATTGTCCTCTGAGAGTGGGGGCTTGTTGCCCTGATGCCAATGCATATCTTTGGTACCGAACAGTGCCTGCAGTGTTGGTGTCGAGACTGGAGTAAAACATGAAACCAGGACCGGTACTTGGCTTGATGTGCCTATGTGTCGAACCAAGCCCCCACAAGATGGACCTGCCCAGTTCGTGCACAACAGCTATGTCGCACAGCTGTCCAAACGCAGTCCTGTGCCAACTCGTTTCGGATCGACGTGCGCCGTGCGTGTCTCAGGTATGGAACTCACTCTCTTGTATTCAAAGCTCACAAGGGGCAGTCGAGGATCGGCCCCGGTTGTGGGCTCTGATGTTCTCTGAAATGCCACTTTCCATGGATTCTGACCTTTTCCAGCTTCCCGACCTCATATAGTGTGCTACAGCGTATGATGCCGTTGTGAGACGCGATACGCGACGCCGGTCAGATGCGAGACTTCGTGGCGGAAGTTCTGAACTGTGGGTGTGATTCGCGGCGATACGTGAGGATTGAGTCTGAGGGCTTGATGGAGGGTCTAGTCCCTACAGCAAGCTCTAAGTTCAGACTTGCCGGGTCTGACGTGCTCATCTGATTCACTAGGTCAAAGGACCTTTCACTCCCTTTTGAATGCCGCTCAATAAGAGCTCAGGCCCTCGTTCAGCTGCACGACAGACTTGTGCATGTCTCGCATGGTGAGTTTGCGGCATCTGGATTGACCTCGTTAGGATCATCGCCACCTGCCGCTTCGTTTTTGAATGCTCTGGGTCCAGGTACACGATTACCCGATTGGCGTATCAACTTCAGAAAGGGTGAAATCTGTAAACTGGTAGTTTTGCAAGACAAGCGAACTAGTTGCCAGGCCTTTCAGAACCCAAGCCGCAGATTGTGGATGCAAGCCACAGATTTGCTTCAAGAATTGGCCTTGGACCTTCAGATTGCATCGAGCGGACATGCAAGTCCTTGCCATGTTGTTCCGAAGTTGTTCGATTGAAATTGAAAGCACTCGGTTTGGCCACTGTCCACAGACGGCTCAAAGTGTCAAGGCCCGAGCGTGTGATACGCATCGGTGCATGTCGTGAACCTGGACCCCTCTTTTTCTCACGGACGGGGAGCGAAGGCCGCCAGGCCGCCCACTCATCGGTGTTTCGAGACTCGAGGAATTCTGGGAAGGTCCAGCGCGACAGTACTAGCAACAACATCGCAGCCCTCCGTCTTTTGCACCGTAAGATCAGTGGAGCATGTGCCGAGACGAAGAACGTCTGGTTTTGGCACGTTAGAGGGCGATGTGATAAGTCTGGTGCAAGGCAGCTCTGGACCTTCCAATTCGAGCACCAAGTCTTATCCGGCTAAGTCACAAAAGTGGGAGCTTGCGCAGGACGTATTTTGCAATGTTTTACTACAGCCTGCTTAGGTGAAGGTTGAAGGTCGGAGCAAGAAACTGCAAAGCTGCCGTACGGCCGTACGGTTGGGAAATCGACAGTTTGAAGCTGACGGAAGAGCCTCCTGCGCACCTGGGTTCAGGACTCCTGGTCTGCCGAAAAGACCCGAAAGATTCAAGATGATACGATACTTCTTAAAGGCAAGGCCTGACTCATGCAACGAGAATGTTGTTGCTCACCTCGCTTTGGCAGGGACCCCAAGCAGATGACTCTCAACCTTGGGCTCTGATGCGATTGACTGTGAAGGTTTTGGATTCCGGGTTGCCAGAGTGTTCCGTTTCGGTGGCAAGTGCAGAGCTGCGAGGGAGAGGATCTGCTGATGGGCCCCAGCGTTTCAAAATCTCCGTGCCAATCACCAGCCCGAAAGTCCACGATCCAAGAGCCATGAAGTGTACAGCGCTCTGTGTTTTCTGAAGCTTGATAGGATGGGAACGGCCGTGCCCTTTCGTGCCAGGAGATGTTTCACCTCTAGTCAGCTCCGGGGGCTCTGAATCCGAAGGTTTTTTTCTAGGTGACGGTCAAGTCGTCGACATCGGTTGTCACAGTCTAGGGCCTAGGGCGCCACACGTCAGTTTTGAAGTCATTTCAGGCACCCAGAGCCTCTCATTCGTGGCAATGGAAGTGGGGGCGAACCGAAAGAAGTTAGCCATCTTGGGAGGACTCGGCTGCGGGCGTCCCCAGCATTGGATTGCTCTCCCTCCCCTTGCCACACTCCGAGACCCTTTATCTTTGCCTCAAGTGCCCAAACAAAACAAACCGGAAAGCAGCAAAGCAAATGCCTTTCGTCGTAGGCGAGGGCTACCGAGGCCACGTTGACGCTAGCCGGGCCAGCAGTTCGTCCGCACATCTCCGGTGATGCAAGCTTTGGGGCTCGGGTTGAGGATAGACAGGGTCTTTTGTGTGGGACAGCTGGTGCGTGCCTCATTCTCGATCAGTCTCACTCCTTGTCCTAAGCAGCATGTGTCCCCGACAGCATTGTCCGCTCCGGTGGCATAGCTGGGACAACTGGAGTCGGCAGAAATGCGACAACGACCTGTGCCCATTTTCATCGTCGTGATGCGCCGCTCGAAAAGGATTTGATTTCAGTCCTGTCGTCGTTTGCACATTGTCTCCTCGGGGCTCTGTCCGATAACAGCACTTTATACATTATGTGTTGGCTTTGCCGCATGACCAGATTTTGGCAAACTGTCTCTGTGTGGGCGGTTCAGAGCGATGGCCCGGGGCCGGTTCTTAAGCAGTTGCAACCGCTGCCTCAAGCCCGACTTCTGAAGCCCAGCGCTCTCTCAGTCAAACCTCGTCGAAGTCAGCAAGCTCGGCGGCGAGCAGGCACTCCACAGTCTTTCCAGGTGCGGTGACGGCTTGTCAATTCTGCTTGCGGGTCTAAAGGGTCGAGTGGGCTGTTGAGCTGCTGTGGCTTCCGAGGGCTAATCTTCTGCCGGATTGCAAAGGCCAATCCATCACTCCACGCGTTCCTGCCCTGAAGCAGTCAGCCGGTTGCCGCAGCAGTCATTCCTAAATCCCAGACCAGTGAAAACTCGGAGTCGAAAGCGCGCAACAACCAAAGAAGCTGTGCTAAGAGTAGGGTTGACAGGTTACTTAAGATGATGGATGGGTGCTGCGTGCCGTGTCAGCGCTGTCAGGCTTCGCATCAAATAGGGACCGGCATCTAAACTCTGAGCCTGAACGTTCCTTCGTGGAAGGTTTGGCGACTCAGCTCAGATTCGGCAGCAAGCTACGATGCTCCTCACGAGGCTCCTGGAAGCCACACGGTCCTGGTCCTGCCAACACCTAGCCTGCACGGTTGATGCACATGCTTCGGCACGGCATCACCAGGTATGATTTTGGTCTGAACTCTTTCGACATTGATGCTGTGTCCTCAGGCTGGCGGTGGTCATGAAAAAATAAACAGCCCTAGCCCCAGCTTGGGGGTCCAGGGCAAGCCGCTTGAGATACTCAGCTTCATGTTTTTGATCGAGCTCTGGACATGGACAGGTTCCGGGCGCCAGCTTCGTTCTTGCCTAATGATCCTTACTCAGGCTGTTGCGCTTCCAAGGTTGTCTGAACGTTCGCGCCAGACTTGTGTGGTTTATACCTGTGTGCACTCTCTGACCTACACCAATTCTGCGAGATCTCAGTGGCAAACGGCTTTGAAACTACCCCACACGTCCTTGCCCGGTGGTCAGTCTGCCCGACAGCATCCCATAGGTTGTGGCGCGGTGCACGTTAATGAACGGGGTTTCACTGGTACCAAAGATGGACCCGGGCTTTCCACACCGGGAGAGTTGTTAAAGTGGGTGTTGCTTGTAGGGTCCTTACAGATATTGTGGTTCGCACGGGTGTGCCAAGATACTGCTCCTACCTGTCCAAACCTCCTAGACGTCCCTTCAATATGGCGCTAGCCACCCGAGTGCTGATTTTTTTTCATTGCCCCTGTTTCTTGCACAGTGGGGGTCAAGTGCGTTTCTGGAGGACCCATTCTAAACCTTGAGACAGTTCTAGTGAGGAATGTGAGGCATGTATTATGACTC